GGACTCCACTGCCGCCCGCGCCCCGCCCCATCTGGCCGCTTGCGCGCCCCATCCCCCCTCGATGGGGCCCGCCCACACCGGGGCCTCCCCCCTCCCGCCCACTGCTTTCTCAACGGCCCCGAGCCGGGGCTGCCCTCATTGCATACATAGTGCGCCTTTCCCTGCTTTTCTAGTGACCTAGCGTTCCGCACTGCCGTTTGGCCAGCCCATGCTCCCGTACCGTTGCGTTTCTCCCCAATGCGCCATGCCACTTTGCCAGTCATACACACGTTTCGATGCGTGCCCTGTCAGCTGCTTGCGTTGCATGTCGCCTTGCTCCACCCCTGTTTTATTGCTTTCTCTGCTTTCGCCCGGTTCCCGTCCCGTTTCGGCGGGGAGTCTATGTTGCAAGCTAGTTCTTGCTTTACCAGACTTTAAGCCCACACAAGCACAAGCAAGCAGGCCTTGAAGGTCAGCCGAGAGCTGCTGGGCATGCATGGGTCCATTTGAGATAGCGGTGCGCTGGACCGTCACCACCCTCCCAAACATGTGCAGCCCCTGCCGACAGCCCACCTGTGAGGATGCCCAGATGGAGATGCCGATGGCCTGGATTCTGCACAGGCGACAAGGGTGTTGCAGGCAGGAGGTGGCTTGAGAAGACAAGCTTGGCAGCACGGGGCAGCAGCCGCGGTGGCGTGGCCGTCGCAATTGCTGCCAGTGATGAAGCAGGCAGCACAGCAGCACAGGAACAGCACCCCAGCAAGCAGCGGGGCACCCACGTGATGCCCAGCACGTCAGAGGTGCAGAAGAGGGTGGTGATGAGCCAGCGCTGGAGCATGCGCCGGCCCGCGGTGAGGTCTGGAGAGAACTTGAGCACGATGCCGACCTTATTACACGGCCAGGGCAGGACAAAAACAAAGTTGTCATGTTGGTAGAGGCGGCGATGGCCAGTGGCGGGAGGGCCACAACGGTGTCAAACCATGCCTGGGCAGGCGCCGCTCCCGCCGCTGCCGCCGGCCAGCTCACCATCAAGTAGAGGGTGGCTTGGATGATGTTGGGGGCCATGATGACAAACACTTGCATGATCACAACTGCAGAAAGGCGGCGGGGCTGGCTTGATATCGGTTCCGCGCTGCTGGTGTGGCTCGACTGAACAAGAGTGTCCGGACAGACTCACAGGCTGGGAAGACGTTGCCCTTTCCAGACATTTCGGTCGCTGCAGCACATGTGGCCACGGGTGCAAGTCAGAACACGGTGGCAGGCATGCAGGAGCAGACGTGAGGTGTCACATGCGCAACTGCCGCCGCCCAGCTGCTGCCACCTGGCACGAGGCGCACCGTACACAAGGCAAGCGTATCCAGCCGACTCAAAGCACGCGACAGCGCTGCAGGCAGGCGGGTGCGGGGTGTTAGTTTCAGTTCCTGAGTCAGCATGGTGCCAGCAGGCTCATGCGTGTGGTCAACAGCCCGCCTGGCGGCAGCGCAGCAGCACCCACGTCATCGTGTGCATGAAGCGGTATGGCCGCCGCCACGTCTTGCACGCAATCGCCACTCCTCCCAGGAAGAAAAGTGTCATGGCGATGATGGCAAGCGCCAGGCTGGGCGAGTAGTTGAGGAAGTCCTCGATGGGCAGGGTGGCCATATCGTATGACGCCATGGTGCCTAACTGCTGCGGGGCCTGGTCGACAGCGGCGGCGGCGGCGGCGGCCTGGTGGCGGCCGGGCAGGCGGGGGCGCCTCTTCGTCTCAATCAATTAGGCGCTGGTGCACCTGCACAACAACGCTGCCCGAGGCCTTGCTAACCCACAACTCCATCGGAGGTCTGAGACCGATGCCGCAAAAAGGCCGCGCAGTGCAATGCCACGCCCTGGCGCAGAACTCCAACAGTCTCTCACACTACATGCATAATGCTGCTGTTCAATAGAGAGCCTGCAAAAAATACCGCGACAGAAAAAAATACCGCCAGCGTTGGCAAAGGCGACGGGTGGAGCTACTGCCAAATCCTTGCGTAAGAGGAGACCTCCAAAGGGATGCCCAGGGACCCTCGCATTGTGCAATGAGACGATCTTGGATGGTGAACGCAATCATACCTGAACCCCACATAACTAAGCCCAGGGTGCAGAATGCCGCCCTGTGGCTGATCGGCGGCGTTGCAAGGCTCCGTCCGGCATGCGGCTTCTCTTGCTGTGCTCACAGCCCAGTGCACAAGCTTCAATTCGAACAAAGACATTCATTCATGATTAAATCAAATGCAAAACAAGTCCTCAGCTCACGCTGGGAGCTCCAATTTGGCAGGCATTAGCGAGACGGTCCCGCCCGCACGCCGCCGCGTGCGCCGCCGCCGCGGCCCGCTACTTTACAGGGATGTCTGCAGGGCAGGCGTCTGGGTGGGCCGTCACGTGGGCAAACACCTCCGCCTGCTGCCTGGCCAGGTGCCACGGCATCTCCGCATACACGTCGCTAAACATGGCCGACAGCGGCGGCTTGGGCGCCTTCTGTGCTGTCTCCAGCGCCTGGATCACTTCCCTGCGTGGCAGCGCCAGCAGCCGGGCACAGCATGGGGTGCGGGCAGCATCGCTCAGGGGTCCTTGGCGAGGGGAGCACAGCGCGGCATGCGCGGCGTGCGTGCTGCGGCGCCCACAGCCAGGAGCGGCAGCAGGGCGGGAGCCGGGGTTTGCGGCGCCAGCAGCCCGGCACCAGCCCGCTCCGGCGCCCCGCCGCCGCACCTGCGCGCCTCCTGCCGCGCCGCCGTGTCCTGGGCATCGTCCCACCACCCCTGGTCGATCAGCCAGCGCTGGAAGCGGGTGACGGGGTCTCGCGCCCGCCACTGCCGCATCTCCTCCGCTGCGCGGTACCTGCCGCGCATGTGGGCCGCGCATGTGGGCCGCGCATGTGGGGATATGGGGCAGGCACGCAAAGGAGAGGAGAGGAGCCTTGGCAGGCAGACTTTTGTGCGGCGCGGAGCAGCCGGCGCTCAGCGCCACCCACCCACACCAGGCTGGCTCTCGGCGGCCCGCCTGGCCTGACCCTGCGCTGCCAGGCCTGGCCCAGCACGCCCCACCGTACACGCACCTGGAGCTGTCGTCTGAGGTGGAGTGGTGGCCGCTTCGGTAGCTCATCGCCTCCACCAGCACCGGCACCTGCAGGGGCGGGAGCGGGAGCAGGCAGGGAAGGGTGAGGGATGCACGGGCGGGCCGCGCGGTCGAGAGCCGGCGCACGGCGGACACGTGGGGCTGGCCCGCACGGCGCCAGTGGTGCACACGCAGCAGGCGTGGCGGCCCAGCGCCGCTGATGCAGGAGCCGGCGGGCAGGCGCCGCCCGCCAGTACAAGCGGTGGCAGCCGGGACGGGCCAGCGGCGCTGCAGGGCGCCGCAGGGCGCTTAGGCTCACGTGCTCCTCTATCGCGATGCGCCTCGCCTCTGCCGTGGCATTGAACACCGCCCGCGCATCCCCGCCGTCCACCCGCAGTGCCGCCATCCCGTAGCCGGGGCCGCGCCCCGCGATGCCGTCGCCTGCGGAAGGCAGGCGTGAGAGGCGGGAGTGGCTCAGGCTGGTGCTGTGCTTGATGGCGCCGGCCCCACACACCCGCCGCCACAACCACATATCGAGCGCCGACCCACATACACGACTCCCACCACCACCACACACACAAGCGCGCGCGCGCACACACACACACGCACGCGCACCCCGCCAGACCCCTCCCGCGCACCCCGGTACTGGTCTGTGGCGGGTGTGCTGATGGCCCAGCCGTTGTTGCGGCAGATGAAGACGACGGGCGCCCCCAGCGTGGCGGCGAAGTTCATGGCGGCGTGGAAGTCGCCCTCCGAGGCCGCCCCCTCCCCAAAGTATGCCACCGAGCACGCCTGCTTCTTGTCCAGCTGCGGGGGTGAGCGCGGCAGGGGGCGGGTGGGTGTCATGGTGAGCGTGGGTGGGTGAGCAAGCGGCGAGGAGTGGGTGGGTGGGTGAGCGTGGGTGCGGTGCGTGAGCGGCTGGGCGGGTCCCTGCCTCCTCCCCAGGGCTGCAATGCTCCGCCTCCAGCGCGCATACAGCGCGCACCACACCACGCATGCACACACAGATCCTCAACCCCCCCACCTCGCCCCCGCCTCCAACCGCACACACACTCTGCCTTTCCTTTCACCCAGCCCCGCCTGCCTCACCCTGAGCGCGTACGCGGCGCCCACCGCGTGCGGCAGCTGGGTGGCGAGGGTGGAGGAGATGGTGTGGAAGTTGAGCGCCTTGCTGCCGTAGTGGATGGGCATCTGCCGGCCCCGCCCCTGCTCGTGCATGTTGCCAAAGCACTGCGGGGAAGGAACCGCCAGGCAGGGCGGGACGCGGGCGGGGCAGGGGAGTAAAGTGTCTGTCAGCCAAGGGGAGGTGCCGGTCAGGGTGGCACGAGGCAGCGGGAGGGGTGCGGCTTGGGGGCGGCGAGGACGGGTCTTGGCCTCTGCCACCCAGCGGTGGCCGCTTCTTTCCAGCCCGGCCCCCGGCTCGAGAGGGAGCCCCCGCCACGGCAGCTCCCCACCTACCTGGTGGGCCATGTCCTGGACCGAGAATCCGCGGTACAGTATCACGCCCTGCTCGCGGTACTGGCTGAACACCACGTCGTCGTTGGTCAGCGCCGCCGCTGAGCCGATGGCCGTTGCCTCCTCCCCGCTGCTGGTCATGTAGAAGGAGAAGCGGCCCTGCGGGGAGGGGAGGGAGGGAGGGAGCGCGGGGCAGCAAAGCAGGGACGGTTTATGGCCTATGGCAGCAGGGAAGGAGTATGGCAGCGGGGACGGCGCTGGGGCAAGGAGGGTGGTGTGGTCGGGGTGCAGGGCAGCGTCGCAGCACAGGCAAGCGGGCAAGCAGCAACCTGTGCCCAGCCTCCCGCCCGACACAGGCTCCCACAGCGCCCAGCCACACACACCACCCCGGCCGCAAGCTGCCGCTGCCGCCAGTGCAGCAGGCGCCGTCAGCGGGCTGGCACCCGAGCCGCACGCCAGAGCCGCCACCCGAGCCGCACGCCAGGCGGCCAGCGAAGCGGCCAGCAAGCGCCTGACGGCCTGCCGGCAGCTGCTGGCAGCTGCTGGCGGGCCGCCGGGCCCACCTGGCGCTGGGCCTCGTAAAAGATGGTGTCCACGGTTTGCAGCTTGACCATGGTTTGGTACATGCGTACCGCAGTGTCCTGCCCCAGCACGTGCGGCACGTCCGCCTCCCCCACCGCGTGCCCCGCCGCGTCGATGGTGCGGTAGCAGGGCAGCGGGGCACGGGGCGAGAAGGTGCCGCCCACAAACGTGAGGGTGGGGGTGAAGGGTACGGAGCCGCCGGGGAAGTCCATGCGTTCCTCTGCAGGGCCTGCGCCGGAAGAGCTGCCTGGAAGGGCGCTGCCGCTGCCTTTGCTGCTGGCCCTGCTGCCGCCGGCGGGCGCGGCCTGGGTGGCGGCGGAAGCTGAGTGGGCGGAAGCGGCGGCGGCCGCCCGGCTGGCGAGCACGCGGGCGGCGGTGGCGGCAGCTGCGGCGGCCGTGGGGCCCGCGCCCCGCAGCGCCAAGGCGCAGCACCGGGCCAGCATGCTTCCCGGGGGGGCCAGGGCCCGCGCCGGAAGCCTTCCTGTTCTGTTGGCGGGCCGGGAGTTTGGTGATTGCTGTGGGGTGTCGGCCAATGATCACCGGTGTGCAGGATCCAACCACACTCGTCTGTAAAGGCAGCGGCTGTTCAAGAGGGCCAAGAGAGGAGGCTGCTGTGCTCCGTCTGCTGCGCTGTGTTCAACGCCAGAGGCCGCATGGTGCGCTTGTGCATTGGTCCTGGCAACCCTGCAGATCCCGCAGCCCTCCTCTGCCAACGACATCGCTCAGCATGGGCTTGAAGGTGCGCACCACCTCTGCGTCCTGCCCAGTGGCCTGCACACGCACCGCTGAACGCCGCACAGATGCCTGGTGGCCACCGATTCGTCGATGGAGGGCTGCTGATGTCGTGCCACCGCCGGCCGCCCGCCTGCGGCAGAGGCTGCACTATCGGCCCCATTCGATCGGACCGCTGCCGTTGTCGCTGCTGCCTCCCCTGCAGGAGGACTTTGACAAAGCCGCCGAGGAGGCCAAGGCGGTAAGAGGGCCAGGCGCCGACAGCTGCAGTCGCTGCTCAGCTATGCGCCTCCAATCCGCCTTGCCGAGCGCCGCCTGGAGCTTCTGTCTGACCTTGGGCCTGCCGCCACCACCACCATTCCCTGCAGTTGCCAGACAACACCAGCAACGACGACAAGCTGTCGCTGTACGGCCTTTTCAAGCAGGCCACCGTCGGGGACAACACCACAAGTACGCGGGGAGAGGGTGGGGTTTGGGGTGATGCAGTCGTCAGCCTGCCGAGCTCTCCTCAACCCGTCCTCATCCAAGTGTGCCGCATGCATTCAGGAGCCTGCAAACCTATGGGCTGATTGGCTGCCTGGCTTGCCTCCCCCGTGGTTGCTCCTGCAGGCCGGCCAGGCATCTTTGAGCCCAAGGGTGATACCAGCAGGCCGCTGCACCGTTGCTGCCGACACGCTGCTGCTGACCCTTGCCAGCTGCTGCTTCTCTCGCCAGCACAGCAGTATCGTGATGCATGCGCCCCCTCATTGCAAGCGTACCCAAGCCCCAGCCCAACCCAGTGCCCATCTGGCCTCTCCCGCCGCCGCTGCCACCGTTGCAGGGAAGGCCAAGTGGGATGCGTGGGACAAGGAGAAGGGGAAGAGCAAGGAGGAGGCGATGCAGGCATACATCGACCTGGTGCAGTCCCTGAAGGCCAAGTATGGCGCCTAGGCGGCCGCACAGCCTCCCCACCTGCCCAGCGAAGAGCGCCCAGCGAGCGGCCCTGTAGAGAGCCATGAGAGAGCGCCGGCATCGAGTTCCAGTTGCAAGCGGCTTCCAGCCATGCGCTACCAGTGAAACCAGCTTTTTTGGACTTGAGGCTGGTGTAAAGCAGCGCATCTTTTGAGCGGCGGGGGCGATTCCCGGGTACGGCACTGGAAGGAGGGCGGGCACAACCAGGAGTGCGAGACGCTCGCTGCTGCTGCCGCCGACCGGCCAGGGGGCGGGGCAGCAGCTGAGAACATGCTGGCAGAGCCGCATGCTTGTGCATGCACCCCGGATGGAACACCCAGGAGCGGAGCTGCCGTGTGTGTGCACCGCAGCGAGGGGCACCCTGCGGGCCTGCATCCATCCTTCTCACAAGGTATGCGTTTACACTTGAGGCAACAGTACGCAGTGCAATTACTAGTGGTGGGATGGGTCTACGCAAGCGATCTAGGGGGCCGACCGATGGGCCAGCAGAAGTGCTCAGCGATGCGCCGGGGAGGTCACTAGCCTGGTGTTTGCGGCTAACTAAGTGGGAGCGCTAGCTAGGTCAGGGTTGCCAGGCGGCTGAGAGGCCACAAGCAGACCGTGAGGCTAGAAAGTGGGGGAGCAGGGAGGTCAGCGGGCACAGGTGGCGCAAATAGGCAAGCGATGCCAGCACGAAAAACAGGGAGACGGCAAGCTATTCGTAAGCACATGAACGACAAACAGTAGAAATAAGCCAGTGGCAGGAGGCTAGCTGCCAACAGCCGGAAAGCAGGGAGCATAGAGCTATGGCCGATGAAGGAGGGAGGCGTGGGGACACACAGACAGCAGCGGCACTCACTCAATAGGGCAGGTGACCAGGGGGCAGGCAGGCAGCCCGGCTGCTGCATACACAATTTCTACATAGACGGGTGCACTGAAGGGGCGGCCTGGCCACCAAGAGATGCATGCCGGCAGCAGGCAGGGCGCTGGGGCATGTGCCGGGGAGGGGTTGATTCGGAACGCTGGGTAGCTAGCTGATTGGGAGGTGTTCAGTTCGCTGGGTGGAGGCCGCAGGGGCCACCGGGAACAAGGCCCTGAGCTCACTCGCTGTCCTCGTCGCTGGCAGAGCTGCTGGGGGAGTCCAGGATCTTCTTGCCGGCATCCAGGGCGCTCAGCACGCTGGCCGCCAGGATGACGCCTGCACATCGTCACCAGGGAGCGTGCATGCACGGTGAGGCGCCGGGCATGAACGAGGCAGGGCTTGCCAGGCATGAGACATGGGCAACGCAGAGTTCGCTCTGCTAGTGATACTGCACAAGGGCTGGGCAGCCCTGACCAGCCGTGCGCGTGCAAGCACAGGCTGCGGGCGCACCCGGGGCGGAGGCCTTGCTGCCAATGGTGGCACGCGGCTCCTGCTCCTCGGCACCAGCAGCAGCGCCCTCCTCAGCCGCGCCGTCCACTTCGTCGCCGGCGGCGCCGGCAGCCTTGGCGGCGGCCTTGGCCTTGCGGCTGCTGCTGCCGCCGCTGGAGCTCGGGGTGCTCATGGCGGCATAGCCGCCGATCATCACGCCGCCCAGCAGCGCGGCATCGGTGACGTCGATGGCCAGAGCAGAGAACATGGCGGTGGCGGCCACGCCCATCGCCACCGTGCCGGCCATGGTGCCGAGGGACTGCAGGCATGGGAAGGCAGGCATGGGAAGGCAGGGAGGAGTCGAGCCTTGAAGGAGCGTTGGGAGGGTATGGAGGAGGCGGGGAGGTTGGGCTGCTGGTGCGAGGCCAGGGTGCGCCAGCAAGCAATAGGCGGGAGCGGCAAGGAGCCTGCTGAGCGCAGCGACAGCATGCACACAGGGCAGCACATTCAGGGCTCCACCCAGCAGCGCTGCTGCCAGCTCTAGTGCTCCCAGCTGCTGCTGCTGGCCCTGGTACTCACCCTGAGGGTGCTGCTGGAGCCGGCCGCCGCCACCTTGCCATCCGCTGGCTTCTCCACGGCGGCGGGCACCTGATCCATCACCACCTCCATCTCCACAGGCTGCGCTGCGGTGGGAGCCACCTCTACAGCCGCGGGCGCCAGCTCGGCAGCGGCAACCGTCTCAGGCTCCACCTCAGCTGCCGGCACCGCCGCTGCAGCCTCCTTCTTCTTCTTAGCAGGAGCCACGGTTGCCTTTGCGGTCGCCGCAGCCTTGGCAGCAGCGGCGGGCTTGGGCTTGGCGGCGGGCTTGGCGACAGGCGCAGCGGGGGCGATCACTGCGGCCTTGTTGGGTGCCAGAGGCGCCGCCTCTGCCTCCTCCACCCGCGATTGCTTCTTGTCCGGCTGCTGCATCTTCCCGGCAGCAGCGGCGGCGCCCTTCTTCACCGCATCGGCAATCTGAGAGAAGGCCTCGGCAGGCCTGCAGGGTGGTGGCGCATCAGCAAGCAATTTGCACAGAGGGTCAGGCGTCGGGCAGGCGCGGACAAAGCAAAAGACATGCCGCGGAGCTAAAACCGGAGCCATGCAGGGCCGCTCCAGCCAACCCCGCCAGCCAGCTGGGGCTCCAGGCTCACTTGAAGGCGGGGGCGGCCTGCTCCTCCTGCTCCTCCACCTCGGCCGGGGCAGCAGCAGCAGCAGCGGCAGGGGTGCCAGGAGCAGAGGCGGGCTCGTCGGCGGGAGCGGGGTCCTCCCCGCGCAGCGCGGGCCATGTGGTTGCCAGCGGGGCGTTCCATACGCAGGACAGGTCGGCGGTGGTGGGGTCGATCGACTGGGTGCACGGGAAGGTGGGGCAGCAGACGCAGGCGGGCGGCTGAGCGGAGTCAGCAAGGGTCGGGCACAACCGCCAGCGTCAACAACAGAGGTGACGCTGGCTGGCGTGGCTGACCCGCAGCAGCATGGGGGCAGCGAGCGGTGCAGGACCTGCCCTCTCGGCTTCATGGACCCACCTGGGTGCGGTTCATGCAAGACTCCCACACCGGCCAGCAGCCCGGGATCTGCTGCACAAACTTGTACTCCAGGCTGCCACCCGCGGGCAGCTCCACGGTGCAGCGCCACACGTTGCCCTCGTTCCAGCTCATCTGCACCGCGGCGCTGATGTCCCAGCTGCCCAGCTCCGGCTTGTCGCCCACCACCACCAGCTGCTGGCCATAGGGAACCTGCAGGAAGGGCGTAAGGGGCCTCAGCCGCTGAGTGGAGAATGAGTGGCGGTGGGCAGCGGCGGCGGCGATGTGGCGCTAGGGCTTGCCTGCCGCTGCAGCGTAAACGTGACAAGAATGGTGTCGGCGCTGGCCGTCTGCTTCTTATGATCCAGTTCCTGGCCGACGAAGCAGACGGCGGAGCGCCGGGCGGCCCGAGAGGCAGCAGGACGCTGGGGCGCCCTGCGGGAGCTGGTGGCGCGCTGGCTGCGCAGCGCTGGTCTGCAGGCGCTCAACAGACCGGTGGCAATCATGATGATGGCTGGGGGTTGGCTGAGGGGTGCTGCAAGTTAAAAACGTTCAAATGCTGCACGCGCTCTCCTCGCCGGCTGGTGCAATCCACACGCAGCGATCAAAAATAGGCGCCCTGGGCCGCAGCGCAATCCGTGATCTGATGGTGGCTGTCCGGGTGCCGGGGCTGAATCAGGAGAGGCGACGGCGGCAAAGCGCAGCGCAGCGCAGCGGGCACGCCTGGGGTTCTCAGTGACAGTTGTCGCCGCACCACCCGTGCAGCATCCAGTGCGCATCGGTACACCGCAGATACACGATGATGTCGTGATGGGTGTGTTCAAGGCGCGGTTGGCGCTCTTCATTCGCTGATATGCGTCGCTGGTGAGCTGCACGACGGCAAGGCAGCGGCACCAGCCCTGTTTACAGTGCATTCGTTGGGGTCTGTTGCACCACCCACTCACGTCAATGAAAATAAATTCAGGACATTTGGTGCGGGAACGTACGAGGCACCTAGTGCAATGAACACAGCAGCATCGAGCAGTCTCGGCGCCAGCGACACCAGCGGCGGCGGGTGGCCAAGTTATTTGGCTAATCGCCGGGGGGATTGGAGGAGCATGCATGCGCAAAGCCACTGTAAGAAGTGGCCCGCACTGTATAAAAACAGCCGCCTCCAGGCTCCAGGCAACGCTTCCCTGAAGGGCTGCTCTCGGCGGCGCCAGGGTGGCGGGAGCTGAGAAGGCAGTCGGCTGGGCAGCTGAAAGCGGCAATCGACTACATTTTGCTGTCTCTAGAGTGATAAAACAGGCCGCAGGCAACTGCACAGCCGGCAGTGGTCGAATGCTCGCCATGTTTTGTTGCCTCTAGCAGCTGAACACGCTAGCAGTCCATAACCGGTGATGAATACGCTACTGTGGGCTCTGACGCTGCTGGCAGGTGCGGAGGAGGCGCCCGGGCTGACACATCTCCAAGCCATCTCGTTGCAACCGCATCGCATGTCTCCCACCACCGCTTCCCTCCCTCCAACGCGTTGTTTCGACCCTCTCCTGCACAATCAGGCTCCGCCGCAGTGGCCGGCGTGCCTGTCCCGCCTGCCCCGCCTGCCCCGGCCCCGCCGCTGGCTCCACTGGCGGCGCCACCTCCCACCGGCCGGCTGTCACTGGCCAGCCTGTACCTGCCCGCTGGCCGCGGCTACGACTGGAGCATGGCAGGCTACAGAGGCAAGCCTCGGCCCTAGCCCGCTGCTGCATGCGCCAACGATGCCACTGCCGATTCGCCTCTCGGCGATGGCTGCGCCCGTCCCAGCTGCCGCTGCCTCGCTCGGGCCCGAGCAGCAGAACGGCCGGCTTGCCTGCCGCTGCAGATGGCCAGGAGCCGCTGCCCAGCCAGCCCGTCAAGTTCAACGTCAAAGACTTTGGGGCCAAGGGCGACGGCGTGGCGCGGGACACGCAGGCGTTGCAGGTACAGGCAGGCGGCTGGGGGGTGCTTGATGGTGCAGGCAGGCGGAGCGGGGCTCCTCGTCAGTGAGGGGCGCAGCGGTGCTGGCACCAGCACTGCCAGCCGCCATTTACCTGCGCCCCAGCCGCCGCGACGGCAGCAGCTGCCTGCCAGCGCCACCTGCAGACGCAGCCCGCCGCAGTCCGGCCACCGTGCATGCATGCCGCCAAAGGGGCTCACGTGGCTGCCGTGTGTGTGTGCCTCTGACGCTGCACACGCAGGCGGCGGTGGCTGCTGCCAACGCCGACCCAGAGGGCGGCGTGGTCTACCTGCCTGCGGGCACCTACCTGCTGGACAGCACGCTCGTGGTGGAGCGGGCAAATGTGGTGCTGCGAGGCGACGGGGTGAGCTGTGGCGGCGTGGTTTAGGGTGCTGCCTGCAGGGTCGCCCCGCCTGCCAGCTGGGCGCCGGCTGGGCGGCAGCGCTGGCAGCGTTATGGCAGCGCCGGGGGAGGTCCCCGGCTGCCTGCACCAAAGCGCTTGAGCTGGAGACACCGCCCCAGCTGCTCGCTTCCGCAGGCAAACGCCACCACCATCTATATCCCCAACTCCCTCAGCGACGTGTTTACTGGCACCTGGGTCAACGTCAGCGGTGAGCGAGGCTAGCAGCTGGCCGGCTGGCGGCAGGCTGTCAGGGCAGGGCAAGGCAGGGGCAAGGCGGGAGAGGCATGCGCCGCGGGAGCGGCCTGCCGGAGCTGTTGGGCTGGCTGAGGCCCCTCCTCTGCCTCCCCCAAGCCCTGCCGCCTGTGTTTTTGCCCCCTGCAGGCAAGGTGAAGAGCTCCTGGGACTCGTCCGGTGGCTTCATCACCTTCAAGTGAGGGGCTGGCTGGCTGCAGTGGCATGGAATGCACTGGAGCTCCACCCACTGCCTGCACCGCTGCGCCAGGCCCGCCGCCCCTTCAGGATGCGCGCCACTCAGCGAGCAGCTGCTGAGGCGGCCCCCTGTCACGCCCGGCCTGTAGGGGCAGGAAGCAGACCAGCCTGTTGGTGGGCCCCTTGCTGGCCAACATTGCGGGCAATGTGGAGCCCGGCGACTTCCGCCTGCCGGTGAGGCCTCCCCCCTGGCTCATGCACCCGCTCGCCACTTCCGCAGCATCCCTCTCCAGCTAGCTTCCCTCCTCCCTCTTCCCTGCCTGGGTCTGCCTGACGTGCGGCCTGCCTGCCGTGGCAGGTCGACTCCACCGCCAAGTTCCAAGCGGGACAGCCGGTGCGCATCTGGGTGAACGACGAGTCCACAACGGGTGCGCCGTGCCTCCCCGACCTTGCCGGGCCGGGTGCTGGCTGCCGCCAATGGCTGCAGCAACCTGGGAGGGGACGTCGCTCACGTGGCGAGTGGCTGCCGGTCTGCTGGCTGCGCCAGCCAACGGACCGCCACCCGCCTCCAACCGCCTCTCGCGCCAGCCACCACAGCAAGACCTTGCGGTGCCTGGAGTGGGTGGCAGGCTTCTGATGGCTCCCCGCTTTGCCGCCGTGCTCCCCTTTTCGCAGGTGTCAGCAGCGGCACCGACAAGGCGCCGGCGGCGGGGTTGCCTGGCGAGGCAGCAGGCGGCGACGAGGGCCTGCCAGTGCCAGACTGGGTGAAGCAGGATCCGACATACCAGGCGGCGCTGGCCGCGGGCCAAGGCATGGAGGAGCCCGAGGACGGCTCGGATGGCGGCGGGGGCAGCAGAGATGGCGGGGGCGAGGCCGGCGGCGGCGGCAAGGTCGGCGCCGCCGGCGGCAGACGGCACCGTTGTGGCCTGGGTGAGAGGCTGGGCAGCAGGCAGGCAGCCACCCAGCCGACCAAACCGGGAGGATGCTGGAAGCGTCGAGGGTGCCGGCATGACGGCCGCTCTGCCTGTACAGCCTCATCGAACGCCTACGCCGCTCGCCGGGCAGCGCCGCCGTGGTGGCTGCCTGCCTGAAGCGCCTGTCCCCTGTGCGCCCCGCTGGCTGGCGCAGGTGTATGGCGATAACATGGCAGACAGTGGCCCGGACAGCGGGATCCTTTCCAGGGACCAAATCGCCTTCACCGCCAGGTGGGTGGGGCAGGGTGGGCCGCCGCCGGCCATGGCTGCACTGGCAGGGTGGAGCTGCCGCCGCCCTTGGCTGCACCAGCGGATGCACGCACGCGATGCTGCTGCTGGTGCTGCCAACTCGCCTGCCCGCCTGCCTGCCGTCCCTGTCTGAGCAGGGTGGCCGCCATCGGCGAGGGCTGGGTGGAACTAGACCGGCCCATGTCCTTTGCAGGTATGCGGTGCTGCTGCTGCTGCTTCCCTGCCTGCTCCTCCTGGTGTTCCCCTGGCCAGCTTGGGATGCGCGTTGCACAGCGCCGGGGGGGCATGCATGGGGGGTCTCTTCACAGCGCTGGGGGTCCTGGCTCCTCCTGGTTTGCAGTGCGGGAGTGGTGGAAGGGGGTGGTGCACGTGGAGCAGCCCAGCCTGCAGGATGCTGGCATGGAGAAGCTGACGATTCGCTTCAAGTGAGCTGAGCAGCTAAACTGGCGGTGCCCCCTGGCTGATGTGTCCTGGGCTTCCCTTTCGCGTCCCGGCTGGCCAGCCCCTCCATTACCTCTGATCAGCACCGCTTCCCAGCTGTCGCATCTTTGCCTCGACCCCAGCTGCCGCGTCTTTGCCTTGACCCGCCACGCACACACCGCCCGAGACTGTCCTCTGCCCCCTGCTGCCCGCCGTCCCGGAACCAGGCACTCGATGTTTGGCGACCACTTCAGCGACCGAGGCTACAACGCGATCCAGGCGGTGTCCGGGGTCAACCTGTTTTTCAGCGAGGTACTGGGCGGTACCGCCTCGTGGCTGACCTGGCACCCTGTGCCCGGCGGCACCCTCCACACTGCAATGCCGCGCAAGGCGTTGCGGGGCCGCTGCTGTAGCGCAGCCAGCTCCTCCAGCTCCTCTTGCCGCGGAATCTGAGGCTTTGGCGGCCGGGGTGCCTGCTCCCCTCCCCTCCCTTTTCCCTGCTGCCCTGCGCAGATAAATATAATCAATTGCGACAACGGCATCAACCTCTTCTTTGTGGATCACTCCACGGTCCAGGGTGAGATGGGGCGGGCCGCGGCTGCCAGCAGGCTGCCGCTGCGGCTGCCGCTGCCGCTGCTGCACAACATGCCTGGGGGACTGCTCCCTTGGGGGGCGGAGCGGAGACAGGCAGACGCAGCGTTGCCAGCCGGGATGCCCTGCCTCGACGCAGTGCCTGCGGGTCGCATGCGGGCCCTCACGGGCTGGCTCCTGCCTGCCTTTCCACATACTGTAAGCACCCCCCTTCCTGCCTGGCGCCTCCCGCAGACGTTACGATCGACGTAACATCGCCTCGCTGGGGGCGAGACCGGGCCAAGGATGCCTTCAACGGGCACCACCCCATCACCGTAACGATGGGGCACTCCAATCTCATCACCAGGTAAGGCGGAGCCAAGTGTCGCAGGGGCAGGGAGGCGAGGAGGCACACCGACGCCCGCCGGGCAGCAGGCGCCGCCTCCGTGAACGCAGCATGCAGGCTGGCATGCTTCCCTGCCCGTGCTGTTCCAAACCCTGGCAATCAGCGCCGTAACCGCCACCATCCCCTGCCTGCCTGCCTTGCCAACCCTCCCTGCAGGTTCTCCATCAATGCCAAGTGGATCCACGACCTGTCAGTCGCCTACGGCGCCTCCCTCAACGCCTTCACCGCCGGGCGGGGGCTGGACCTAAACGTCGACCACCACAGGGCGGGCCCCTGGGCCAACCTGTTCACTAACATCAACGTCGGCTGCGGCAGCAGGCCCTTCTTCTCGTCAGGGCGCCAGGGCAAGGGCGCGCATGACGGGTGGGCAAGGTGCTGCGCTGCCTGGGGGGTGGCAGCCACCACCAGCAGCTGCAACAGCTGCTGCTGCCGACCAGCTGGCGCGGGCGCCACCTGATGATGGCAGGGTGTTGCGGGTGGGCTGCCAGCATGTCGCCGCAGCACGCCGGCACGGCAGCTGGCTCTCTGTTCAAGCATGGGGCCGCTGAGTGGCCCTGTGGCTGACTGGCTGACGGCATATGTGTGTGTGGGGGTGTGCATTGGTGCTGCAGGCAGGGGAGCCACGTTTTGGAACCTGTGGGCTGCAAACCCGGTGGCCCCGCCCCTCCCCCAGCAGCTCAGAGGGAGGCGGGCTGCCAAGCAGGCCGCCGCCGCTGGCCCTGCCAGGAAGCCCTCCCGCCGGCCCCTGGAGCTGCCCGGCTGCGACCTGGGGCCCCTGCTCAACTTTGTGGGCGCCTTTGTCAAGCCCAACTGCCGCACCAAGATGAAGTGGCTGGTGGAGGCGCTGAACGCCAGCAGCCCGGCCGACCTGCACCGTGCGCAAGTGGCGGCGCGGCGGGCAGCCAGCGTGCGGTAACAGCGTGTGACAGCACCAGTTGCCGGCTCACTGACCGCCTTTACCTTGCCCACTACAGCCTCCTTGGCATCTTCCCCACCCTGCCCATACCGTCCTTGGGCATTTTTGAATCTTTAAATTTCATCTAAACCAATAAACAATGAAACAGCAGGGCATTGAATCAGGAACCAATCAGGACAAAATCAAGGGCCGCTTGGCGCAGCGGCGGCAGTGAGGTCGGGGTGGGAATGCCCATCCAAGCAGCAGCGCCTAGCAGCAGGCGCGGGGGCGGGGCTGGTGCTGGTGGCAGCGGCGGGTGGCGGTCTTGGGCTGCCGCTGGTGGGCTGGCATGGGGGCACGCACGGTGTGGCACGCCTGGCGGCAGGGCTTGTGCTGCTGCTTGCGCTGGCCGCACAGGGCCATCACAACTGCCGCCATCGGGTGGGGCGCAGGCCAGGAGCGGCGCTGGTGCTTGGCGGCAGCAGTGGCAGGGGCGGCGGGTGCCTCTGGGGCAGGAGCTGGAGTGGTGGTGTCCGCGGGCTCGGCAGCAGCCTCCTGCTCCTCAGCGGGAGTGGAGAGAGCAGGGCTGGAGGGCTTGGGCAGCAGCCTGCAGCAGGGGGAGGGGAGGCAGGCGGTGCGCATCAGCCACTGAACGCTTCCCGAGGCTCAGAGACAGAGGCTTGGCAGCAGGCAAGCAGGCAGGCAAGCTCAGCTGCAGCACAGTCCACCCTGGCACTGCACCCCCCGCACTCACCCCTGCAGTGCCATCAGGAACAGGGGAGCAGCAGGCAGGGGTGCCGGCGCCTCGGGCAGCGGCCCCGCCGTCAGCAAGGGGAAGGTGCAGGGGCGGCCGGGGCGGCCAGCTGTGGCAGCCGCTGCCTGCTCAGCGGGTGTGCGGCGCTGCGGCGGCACGTAGGCAGCTGGTGCCTCCACAGCGGGCGCCTGGTGGCGGCAGCAGATGTCGGCGATGCTCCAGGTGGGATAGACGTGGCCGGCCAGGGAGGAGGGTGAGGCGCCGAGGCGGCGGGCGGGCGGCAGGTAGGCGCTGGTCGCCGCCTGGTGCATGTCGGCAGCAGGGGCGGGGACGCCGCCGGCGGGGGTGGTGTTGAAGTAGCGAGGCAACACGTCCTCGGCGTCTGCCTGGCAGCCACAGTCGGCGGCGGTGGTGGTGGTGGGCACGGGAGGAGGCAGGATGCAGGCCTGGCGGGTGGCCCAGCAGCCGGCAAGTGCGTGGGCAGGGGCGGGGGTGGCGGAAGACAGGGAGGGCCAGAGGGAAGTGTCATGTGGGGAGGCCAGGGCGTCCAGGCCAGCTTGCAGGTGCAGGGCGGGGATTTCAAAGCTTGGGGTGCGGGAGAAGAGGGCCGCCAGGGCTGTCTGCAGGGGTGGAGGGAGCGGCAGGAGCGGTGAGTGGTGAGATAGGGTCTAGACAGTAAGACGTAAAGGGACAAAGATATGCTTCAGAATTCAGGGCCAGGAGCCAGACGCTGGCAGGAGCAGAGCATGGCAGCAGGCAGTCCACTGCTGGCGGTTGGCGGCACAGGGTCGGTTGGCGGCGTTGGCGAGCGGCGGCGGCTGCGGCACCCGCGCCCACACACAGCCCTGCCTCACCTTGGCCTGCAGGGCTTGGCCATCATTCCACGACATCAGCCGCAGCTTGAGGTGGGCTGCAGGTGACAGGGAGGGGTGGGGCAAAGGGTGCATGGTGAGATGGGCAGCCGCGTTGCAAGCATGCGAGGAGGCGGCGAGGTGCGGGGCTTCCCGTCACGCTGCAGACTGGTGCACTCACCTGCGGGGGAGGCCAGGCGTGCCGAGGCGAGGGAGAGGGTTGCGGAGGTGGCCATCTTGGTGGGAGGCAGGGCTGTGGGCAACGAGGCACACAGGGCACAAGCGGTTGTCGGGGGAGTCCTCACAAACAGCAGGAGAGCTGCGGCGAGGAGTGGGAGAATGAGGTGCCAGCGGCGGTGGCGCCCTCTTTTGTGCGCCGGCGCCCGCTGTGGTCAGTCGCAGCAGGGAGCTACGTCGCCTGCCGCGTTGCTGGCGGACCTCAGGACATCCCGGAGGCCGGAGAGTGGCCGGGGGGGTCGGGAGAGGGCGCTGCAGAGCTGGGCCACACCGCCCACCCCAGCCATGGCGGGCACCCGCAGCATGGTTGCAAGCTGGCAGGCTGCTGCCACTGCCACTGCCACCCTGCAACGTTGCCCTTCTGGCCGTCGGAGCATGGCGTTACAGACAAGGAAAAAACATGGCAGGATGCAACCACGCCAGGCCGAAACAGGAGGCACAGCGAAGGCGTCACGCGAGGCGCACGTCGATGCAGTCGCCGTCGTGCAAGCGCGCAGCGCGAGGCGTCTGCTCTGGCCTCAGCTGCATCGTGCCCAACCAAAAGGTGAGGCGGTCCACACTCTCCTCGCCGCCACCCGCCAGGCACGCCGCCGCCACCTCCACCATTGCGTCCTGCAGCAGCCTGTGGCTGCGGATGCGCAGCACTGCCAGGCGCTGCTCGGCGGCGGCGCCTGGCGCGCCCTCCGGCCCCCCCGCGGAGCGGAAGCTCAGGCGCAGCGTGCGCGGCCCGCCGCGCGGCGCGGCCTTGGTGCGCGGCGCCAGCTGCTGCTGCTGCTGCCCGCGCGCGGCAGCGGGCTGCACGTCCTCGCTGTCGGACAGCAGGTCGATGACATCGTCCAAAGAGCCGCTGGTACCTCCCGTACCGCCCATACCGCCGCGCCGCCGCGCCTGCCGCGTCCCCGGCTCCTGCTTCACCTGCGCGCCGCGGCCAGGAGCGGCCGCAGCGCCAGCGGCGGCGGCCGCGGCGGTGCTGCGGCGCCGGCCGAGTGGGGCCGCGCGCGGGTCGCTGCCGGCGCCGGAGCTGCCGCCAGACAGGGCGTGGAAGTGGCGTTGCTCCTCCACCTCCTCAGGCAGCAGATCTTCCTCCTCCATTTCAAAGTCGGGATCACTGCCCTCCTCCTCATCGCTCTCCCCCTCAGCCTCCTCCTCATCATCGCTGCTTTCCTCCTCAGCCTCCTCCACCTCCTCATCGCTCTGCTCCTCCTCCCGAGCCTGAGGAGAGGGCGCTTCGGCCAAGCTGCGGTCAGGCGGGGCAGGGGAGCAGAAGGCAGGTGAGAAGCAAGGGTGTGCGGGCAGGCGCCCCTGTCCTCCTGGCTGGCTGAACACATGGCAGCACAGGGCCTGCACGGTGGCAGGCCATGCTGCCCACCTGCTGTCCTCATTACCCTGCTCCTCCTCCTCCTCCTCCTCCACCTCCCGCCGCCGCTTCAGTAGCGCCGCACGTAGCCTTTTGCCTGCCAATCCGCCGCCAGTGGCGGCAGCCTGGCCGCCGCTGCCGACCCTGCTGGGCGGGCCTGCCCTCTCTGGCGGCGACCCTGCTGCCGAGCCTGGCTGTGCTTCGTCAGGTGAGGCTGCAGGCGACGGCTGGGCCGGCGGGCTGGGGCTGTCTGCGGCTGGGACCTTCTGGGCAGGAGGCTGGGACTGCTGCTGCTGGTGCTGCAGAATGCCGCTCATGCGGCCGCCCTTGCCAGCCCGCCGCCCAGCGGTAACCGGCGCCCCTGCTGCTGCCGCCGACCCCGCCTTGGCTGTGGCCGTGAGGCGCCCGGGCTCGGATGTCGCGGCGGTGTCCTCTGCTGCTGCGGCTGCGGCGCCGCCGCCAGCTGGCGCCAGCTCGGTGTGATGCGACACCAGCGCTGACGAGCCCTGCCGCGCCTCCCCTCGTGGCAGCGCTGCAGCCCGGCGTGGGGCCTGATGCGATGGCTGCTGCTGCTGCTGCTGCCGCCGCTTGCTGGGCTTGACCACCAGGATTCTTTCCAGCTCAGCAAAGTCGACATGCTCCCTGCAGCCAGCCATATCACACACGCAGCAGGCACACAACACAACTGCTTAGAAACGTGGCGGCGGGGAGGATGGCGGCATCAAGTGCAGGCAAAGCTGGGTAGGGCGGGGTCCACGGCCTTTCCTTGAAACTGTGACAGCAACGAGCACAGCCCTGCGCGGGACCGCAACCGCAGCAGACTGGCTTCTCTCCATGCAGCGCCCCAGCTGCCGCTCACTCATCCGAATCATCATACTTGACGAGCCACCAGTCCTCGGCGCCGCCGCTCTCGTCCCGCTCGTACCGCAGCACGCTGCCTGCAGTACCGGCGCAGGCAGTGCGGTACGGCATGGAACCGGTGGAAAGGCGGAGGCAGCGGGCGATGGCGCACTCGCAGCACACGTGAGCAGCCGCAACAAAGCACAGGAAGGCAAGTTCATGCGGCAGCAGGGTGGGGGGAGGCAGCCAGGCGCCGGGCACAACAAGAGCAGCCCACCTTGAAAGAAGCGGCTGCCAAAGCGCTTCTTAATTGCCTGCCCCACATACTGGCCGCCGTCCAGCTCCTCGCCCTCCGGTGCTGCCTCCTCAGCTGGCTCTGCAGGCGCAGCGGGTGGCGCCGGGGCCGCTGCTTCCGCCGCAGCACTGTCCTTCTTCTTCTGCTGCTGCTGCAGCTTGGCCATCTTGCTGCGCAGAGAGGAAGAGAACTTGGCGGCGGCGGCAGCCGCGGCTGGCGCCGCCGCTGCGGGTGCGACCTCTGCCACTCCTGTCGCCGCTGGCTCGGCCTGAAACATGGCGAGAACGTCGGCAGGCACCGCTGCAGGCGCGGGCGCGGGGGCCGCCTTGGCCAGCCGGGAGGCTCCTGGCAGGTGCTGGAACCCACTGCCTGGTGACGCCTTGGCCGCGGCTGCTGGCGCCGGTGGCACCGCTCTGGACGCCTGCTGGGCCTGCTGCTTTGCTGCCGGGGCCTTGCTGCTGCCTTTGATGGTCCCCTGCGCTGCTGGTTTGCTGGCAGCCGGTGCCTGTGGGGTTATGGCCTTCTTTGCAGCATGACCGGACGAGGGGCGCTGCGTGGCAGGAGCTGCACCAGCCGCTGCTCCGCCGCCGCCGGCCTTCTTGCCAAACACCACAACCTTCAGCTTGGTGCCGCTGCGGCGCCGGGAGCAGGCCAGCAGCATGCGCAACGGTGAGGTGGCAGCAGCAGGCAGACGCAGCAATGGTCGGGCCGCAGCGCGCCACGCCAGGCAACCCCTACGGCTACAGGTCTTTAATCGGGCTGCCGCAGCACTGGCGGCGCTTGCCTGACGGCCTTGGGGTTGGCCTTGAACAGCAGGGAGGTTGCCTCAGTCACCTCCCGCCCCACCACCATCGCCTCCACCAAGAATCGGTCCTGCAAAGGGGTGGGCAGGCAGAGGGGCACGCGCAGGAGGCTCAGGCACGCGCACATCGCCAGTGGCCCGAGGGAGGCGGAGGCAGCCGGCGACAGCCGACAGCGGCATGCCACGCGCCGGCTGACGTGTCCCTCGGGCGGCCGCGACTGCCCGGCACGAGCCAGCTGCCACCTCCCTCAGGCACCCCTCTGCCCCCCACCTTGCACTCTGCGACGCTCTCGGGCAGCTTCTTTGGGCTCAGCGCCGCCATGGTGACCGCCAGCTGGCAGGTGGCCCCCGGCTCCAGCACCCTGGCAGCGGGCTTCACCTGCGGAGAGTAGACGCAACACAAGGCCACATCGAGTGAGGCCATGCAGCGAGGGGACCGCAGCGGCAAGCAGGGCGTCAGCAGTCACTCGAGAGATCTGGACGGGCGCCACAGGCGGCAGGGTGCGGCAGCAGCTGGGAGCAGCTGGGCGCAGCCGCAACATGCGGCACACCGCTCAGGCGGCGCCAGCGGCGAACGCACCGAGTAGCTCTGCGGCGCGGTGGTCTTGACTTTGAATGCGATACGCTCGTCGCTGGGGTTCTGAAGGCACAGTGATCACAGGGTGCATGGGGAGTAAGCTGCGGGGAGCAGGCGGGGCAGGCGGGCGGCCGCTGGAGCGGCCGCCACCGCCCGCTGCCATGGGTGGCGGCGCGCTGCCTCGCCATTCAGAGCTGTTGCTGAATTGTGCCGGACGCTGTGGCAGCCCCCAGGCCGGCCAAACAAGACTGTGGACACAAGTTGCAAACCTGCAGAGTCATTTCACAAGAGGATGGTATGCCCGCCACCACGCCGAAACATAGCTTGTTCGGCGCGACTTGCAGGCAGTCTGCCGCGCCCGCCATCGTGCGAGCTGCGCCCGGCCCTCCGCACTCTCTGCGATTCAAGTGCAGCTCTTCAGCTCAGCAATGATGAAATGGCTCTTTACAAGCGATGCAAATTGATGGAGGTGTCAGGGATGCTCCAGCGTCAACGAGGAAGGCTGTTCATCCAAATGGCGCAGCGGGCGAAGCGCGCTGGCGACGCCGCACGCGAGTGCAGCTCTCTCGAGGAGAAAATCCCGCTGTGTCTGCATCTGCACTCCCACCTCTACATGGTCAAATAGATAGTATTTACAAGTCTGCCGATATTAATAGTAAACACTGCAAGCCTCAAAGGAGAAGCAGGCAGCGTAGGCGGCAAGGAAGCAGGACAACGCCACGGCAGTGACGCCAAGCGGCGACGCTCGGCGCCCCGCATGAAAACAGATGCAAACCGTTGCTGGCATTAAAGGGGCGCCAGTCGGTTGAGCAAAAAGGTTAGCGTTTTCAGGCTGCTGCCTCTGTGCAGGATAAGGGGCGCAACAGCGGTGGGTGTGCGGGGTTCTGTCCCCATGTGTGCACACCCGCCCGCTGGCAATTCTTCATACAGAGCGTGCAGCAGCAGGTTCAATCCCACGCACTGTGCGCTGCAAAAGGACGCGCACTGTGTCCTCTAAACTCCCTCCGGCGGATTGGGCGCAGAGCGGTGCTTCAAATCCAAGCAGCCGCTCACACCGCGCCCAACGACCAGCCGGCACAGGGAGCCGGTTGCCTCCAGGCGGAGGCTTGGCTGTCAAGCGGTCAGAGACGCCACCAGCATGCCGCCAGCGTTGTGCACGGCGTAAGGGATGCCACGCTGGCAGAGGTGCTCCTCTACGGCCTCCCGCACCCTGGCCACGCCGTCCACGCTGTGCGCGCCGCGGCCCGTGATCAGCTGCACCTCGACGCGCTCGTAAATATCCAGCATTATTGCAGCCTTGGCAAGCACCTTGTCTGCCTCGCGCACGGCATCAGCCACTGCACCAGGCGGGGAGGCAGGGGCAGGGTTGGGCAGGGAGCGGGCGAGGCGAGGTGCGGCACGCGCACGCCAAGTGGCGGACGTAGCGGTGCAGACACAGGCGCTCAACAGCAGGCCGCCCAGCTGGCAGCCACATGCGGTCGGCAGCACTCCGCCCAGCTCGCGCCTGTCTGGTCGTGCAAATCGATGCCCTCCATCTTCAGAGTGGAGCCCTGGTTGTTGCGGCGGAAGGCGTCGCGGCAGGCAGCCTCCCGCCTGCGCCTGGCCGCCTCCTGGGCCTCCCTGGCCAGCCGCTCGTGCTGGGCGGCCTCGGCCAGGCGCCCCATGCGGCGCGTATCGATCGCCAGCTGGCGATAGGCGCCCGACTGGGCCTGGAGGTCGGAGATGGCCTGCCTGTGAGCCACAAACGCCTGGCTGGCGGCGGCGCGGAGCGCAGCCTCCTCCCGCCTGGCGGCCTCGTCGCGGAGCGGGCGGAGCGGCGGCGAGGACACCCGGCCCGGCGGCGGGACCTGGGGCAGGGATGCCGGCGCCAGCGGGTAGGCAGCCGCCTGGGCGGCAGGCCACTCCCAGCCTTCGGCCAGCGAGGGAGGCCCGTCCAGATTCATACCCGCCTCGTCGGAGAGTATAGAGAAAGCGTTGTTGTGGCACAGGTGGTGGGGTGGGGGCACATTCTCAGCACCCCAGATGGCCATGCCGCCCTCATCTGCCGGCTGGGGCTGGGAGCTCCAGCCCTCCCAGGAAGGCCTGGCGCGGGAGCAGACGGCGCGGGAGCGGCGGTGTGAGGGTGCATGCGGGACATGGCAGCAAGGGCACCAAAGCTGTTACAACAAGCACGCAGCGGCCCACTCGCACAACGCAGATGCAGGCTGCCCATGAGAAGGGCGCCACCCGCGGCCAGCTGGCGGGCAGCTTGCCGACCTGTCAGGCTCATCCTCAAGGCGCGGTGGGTTGAGGTCCGACAGCGGGATGGGCATGGGCACGGTGGCAGGGACCAGGGGCAAGGGCGCGCTAGCAGGCTGGGGTCCACCGCGCTCAGCAGCCAGCGAGCGCCGATAGGCTGCCTCTGCCACCGACACGTCACCAGACGCATCGACAAGCAAGAAATTAAGAATCCCTACGTCCGCCTGAGGGGAGCAGGGTTGGTAGGGCTTTAGGCGGCAGGCTAGGCAAGGCAACGCGTCACGAGGGAAAGGAGGCTCGGTAAAGCAATGCTTGCAGGCCAGGTGCCGCTGCTGCCCTGACTGTTTGGCCAGCCCGCTTGCGGGCCCCGAGGACTGCCCATTCAGCACCTACAAACTGTCGCAATGTGCAAACTCACCTCGGGAAACAAGGCCAGCAAGGCAGCGAGCCCGGAGTCGGTATCCACAATTCGGAAGGACTCGTCGACGGCGCCACTGCCGGGCGTGGCTGGTGGGGAAGGTGCTGGGCCTCCCGCAAGCTCCCGCAGGCTGGGGAAATCAGTGGGCGACGGCCCAACGACCGTGTCAGCCAAGGCCTGGGGGGTGGGCGGCGAGCGTTGCATTGTCAGGGCGGCGCTGCCGCTGGTCCAAGCGTTGTTTCGAGCGCTGCCGGTCGTGTCTCGCAACCATTCGCCCAGAGAAGCGGTCCGGGGGCTCGACATTCTGCCCTGCAGGGCAAGGAGCAACTTCTTCAGCAGGTTCCCACAGATGTGCAGTTTGCAGGCAGCCTTCTGGGGCCTCCCCATGCCTTGCACGTGCCGGGTTGCGGCAAGCAAGTCCCAAGGCAGGCCAGGGGAGGCCAGCCTCAGCAGGAGCTCGAGGCAAGGCGCCCACTAACGGCCAGACCCCCAGCGTCCGTTGCAGGCAGCAGGGCCGCAAACGTGTCGCAAGCAAGCAAACAAGCGAGCACCGCCCACAGCAGGTGGGCAGCGGGCGGGCTGTCTCGGGGCGCGCAGTGCCGGCTCCCGCTCACCGGAACAACGCTGCTGGTCACCAGGACCAGCTGAACAACTCAGAAATGCGCGAGCATGCAAAAGCGAGACCCAAAGGGAGCAGGCACTTGTTAAGTACCCGTGCACTACTGTTGTGTTGTGTTGTGGTTGTGTTGTGTTGTGGTTGTGTTGTGTTGTGTTGTGTTGTGTTGTGTTGTGTTGTGTTGTGTTGTGTTGTGTTGTGTTGTGTTGTGTTGTGTTGTGTTGTGTTGTGTTGTGTTGTGTTGTGTTGTGTTGTGTTGTGTTGTGTTGTGTTGTGTTGTGTTGTGTTGTGTTGTGTTGCGTTGCGTTGTGTTGTGTTGTGTTGTACTGAATCCGAGTCGGCGGTGCGCAGCATCTGCCCATCTGTGGATCGTGAGATGCATCCATCACAGTGTTCCCACTAGCCTTCAGTAGGGGTACCACATGCAATGACATAACCACAAGTCAGAGAGGTTGTGTGTCATCTGGGCGGTAAAGGCTCATGAACAGTCATGTCTGAGGATGTGCCTTCTGACCGGCAAGGGCGTTGCCGCCACCGCCAGCATCATCCAACTGCACAGATGACGGCAGCTGCGCCATGATGATTGTGGCGTGCTGCTGTATGTTTAGGAAGAGGTGCCAGTGCCAGGCAGCAGCGACCCCGCCTCTCAGCTTGTGACGATCGCCGCTTGATGGTGAGTCACTCCCTTCTGTGAGAAGCCATGTGCCTCTCCTTCATTGGTTCTAGTGTCATGTGAATGCATTAATGCGTCAAAAGATGCTGCATGTCGATGGCGGACTGGTTCAACAGGGAGGATGCCCCAAGCCGCCGGCGCCCGGGGGTGCCGGCATTGCGCCCAGGAAAGCCGCTCCATGAAGGCAGAGGCGCTTGCAGCCCTCAGATTCGGATGTCCACTCCCCTCTGAGCCTCGGCAGCACTTCTCTTCTCCAAGCAGCTTGACCGCACCGGGTGTCATCGTTTGCTCGCTCCCTGCGCACCCTTTGCAGCGCCACGAACCATGCTTTCAGCCACGCACCGCAGCAGCTGGCAGCTGCAGAGGCGAGGCGGTGGTGCGCAGCAGGGCTTTCGCAGGCTGCGACCAGCGGCGGAGGTGAGGTCTCTCCCTCGTCGATCAGGCAGCTCCTCCAGCGCGCCCAGGGGCAAGCCGGCGGGACGCAAGGCGTGGCGCCGGATCCCCGCCGCTCCCTCGCCAACGCCCTTCCTGCCTTCTCCCCGCCTGCAGCTGGGCGGCCGCGCAGGCAGCAGCAGCGGCGGCAGCGGCGAGGGCGACCCCCACCGGTGGCTGCCGGGCGGCAGGCAGGGCGGCCGGCGAAAGAAGGCGCGGCAGCCGGGCCTGTTCGAGGTGGAAGACATGTCGCCGCCCAGCCGCTCGCTCGGCATCCACGCGCTGCCGCCGGTGCGCCGCCGGGAAATCGTGCTGCTGGCAGCGCTGGCCGGCAGCCCTGCCACCCCGCGATGCCTGGCTGCCGTGCCGGGGCTGCCGTGCCGGCGCTGGCCTGCCTGGCGCCGCATGTACCTGCCACACTGTTCCCGGTGCTCCTGCCTGGTGATTGCTTCCCCACGTGCCGCCGCCGCCGCAGAACACCCACAACGGGGACCAGGTCGAGATCGCTGGCTCCAGCTATGTTGTGCAGTCTGTGGTGCTGCAGTTCAAGCTGGTGGGCAAGCCAGCCTCCCCTGTGCAGCAAGCAGCCCCGCTCGCCTGGTGCTGGCCGCCCACCGCAGCCGCCGCTGTGGTTCAGCCTGGTGCTCCTGCTGCTGGGGCCATTCAGCCGGCTGGCGTCGCAGCATTGCCTGCCTGCCTGCCTGCCTGCCTGATTGCGGCGCGCACCTGCCTGCCTGCCTGGCGCAGGTGCGGGGCAAGTATCGGCGGGACCACGCCCGCCTGGAGGTACAGGGCACGGGCCGCTGGATGGCCAACCTGTACCTGGAGAATGTGTTCCAGCTGGATGCGCCGCCAGAGGGCGGCGGCGGCAGCGGCAGCGGCAGCGGCAGCGGCGGGCCAGCCGGGTCGTCGTAGCCTCCCGGCTGGAGCGTTTGCGCACCTGAAGAGCGGAGAGCTGCGCTCATGTTCCCTGTGCCCCTTCACCACCACCCAAATGAAACCCTGATCTCGAACACTGGATCCCAAGCCAACCAAGAGCCCGGCAGCAGGCGCCGCGCGCTGGCAGCCTCGCCTGTCGCCTTTTAAGTGCGATGTATGTATTTTCGGTGCCGTTCAAGGCTGCAAAAGCCTACCCGCATCCAGCAGCGGCTTGTGGCAAACTCATCTTTGTCATCTCATACTGCATCTCATCTATTTTCTTCTCTTCTTTTTTTACGAGAGGGGCGCAGCCCTTTGCCTAAGCCACCACCTGCCCTAAACCACAGCATGCATCCACGCCACTGCTGTCATGGTGTGTTGCACAACATGGTCATACTGTGAGGGAGGAGCGGTTGAGATTGAGGAAATGAAGGACAGGAGCGAAACCATGTGGGCCAATGGAGCATGGGCGCATGCAGGGGCCAGTAAAGAAGGGAGGAGGAGCGTTGACAGAGCGGGCAAACACTCGCTGCCCGGCCAGCAGGATGCACAGCGCTGGGCTGGGCTGGGCTGGAAGATGCTCTAGGGGTCAGGCCGGCTGCCGCCGGCCCGCGTCACGATGCCGCACTGTGTGGATGGCGTGCCGCGCATTCCTGCTACATGCCCAGGAATGCGACCGCCGCCTCACTCCTGCATGGCCATCACGCCGCTGCGCACGCTGCCGCGGCCGCGCACGCGCGTGGCGCCGCCCGCCGCCTGCTGGAAGTGGCGCGTCAGCTGCACCATGCGCGTGCCGCCGCGCTCGCCGCTGATGCGGATGCCGCTGCTGAGGGTGCGGGGGCCGCCGGCGCCGCCGCCCGCGCTGGGCGCCGCCTGCGGGATCAGCTCGATCTGCGGGGGCGGGCGCAGCGGGTGTGCGGGGGGTGAGGACGCTGCGTGTGTGCGTGTGGGGTCGTGTCTAGGGGGCAGGCAGGGGTGCGGCGAAGAGGTGCCAGCCACTCAGGCCAAGCCAGCAAGCCGCCACACTGCACGTCCAGCCCACCCACCGAGCCCCCTGCCTCCCTCCCGGCCCCCCGCCCACCTGCATCGCGTTGCCATCCAGCTGCACGTTGTTGTACTTGCGCATCGCGCGCTCCGCGTGCCCCGCATCCTCGAAAATCACCTCCGCCGTCCCCTCCGACCGACCGCTGCGCGGGGCAGCGCGTGCGCCAGGTGAGCGGCGGGGCAGGCGGCGGCGGAGCTGGCCTCACTGGCGGGCAGCAGCGGCGGCGGAGCCTACCCGCCCCGCCAAACCCGCTGGCACAGCGCACCAGCAGCAGGCCCCCCGCACACTCAGGCGCCCCGCACACCGCCCACCACCCAGCCGCTCCCCCGCCCAGCCCCCAGCCCGCCCACCCACCGCCCAGCCCCCACCCAACAGCCGCCCCACCTGTTGTCGA